CTGAAAAGAGAAAAGGGAAAAAGAATCAAGCCAATACATTCCCCATTTAGAGATACAAAACAATATAAAATGTGAATGGGTCAGATTCTGGATATTCCATCACATATTCAGAGAGAGAGTTCAAGATTGGGGTATCATCATTTCACCATTCTCAAGAAAACAAGTATGTTAGTGCAGAGTATACATACCTTGAAAAGCCAAATATCAGTTCATCAACTACCTAGGAAAGCAGACAGTCATTAATGTATCTAGTAGAAGAAATGAAACCAACCTTTTTAATGCCGCAACCCGCAACCGGTCGTAAGTCAAGGACTAAACCGGTCGTAAGTCAAGGACTAAACCGGTCGTAAGTCGAGGTCTAAACCGGTCGTAAGTCGAGGACTAAACCGGTCGTAAGCCGAGGGCTACCCAACCAGTCGTAAGTCGAGGACTTTCCCTGCCCGGGAGCGCCGCACATGCGTGGTTTCGCTCCCTGCGCCGGCCGAGGCATAGCTGGCCGACCACCAGCTGGCCCAGCTCAAGGGAGGTAAGGCACCCGCCGGAAAAGGGAAAAAAAATGGCGGACAGCCTTGCTTGGCGACCTCCGTGAAATGGTCGATCGACCCCAAATGGGGTCGCGACCCATAGGTTGAGAACCACTGACCTAAGCAGAGAAGAGCCAAATTATGATTCAAGACAACACTGTTTTAGAGTTTTGTGGGCTAGTTCCTGAATTTTTAATCTTCTTCTAACTATTGCACAAAATTGACTTTTCACCTGCAGATTTCTTCCATGTCTGGTTGAAGCAAATTTATTATAGTTCCACAAAATTTCAAGTCTCCTAATAGCTATTATTTTACTAAAAACAAGGAGCATCCTGTTTAGCTAAAAGCTAAACAATTAGAAATATGGCAATATATGTTTATTTTCATCCAGATATCACAAATGTTAGGTTCCTGTGAAACTGAAGCTGTTTCAATTAAGACAGCGGCTCCCAACCTTCTCTATACCCCGCACCCGTAGAACACTTGATATATTCTGGCACCCCTTATAAAAGTACAAAATAATGGCAACGAGTTATGCATATACATTATAATTTTGAAAACCCAAGTTTTTGCACCCCCTGGAATATCGTCTTGCACCCCTGAATTAAGAGGCCAGCTTATGGCTCAAAGCATTGGAGATTCCAATTCAACTTTCAGAATACTTGAAAATCCCATTTTGCACTTGTGATAGGCCATTCTGCAAATGTTTACTTAACATCAAAACTATTATGCATGTCCACTCAACTCTATTCTCTTAAAATTTATCACTTATGAAATGGAATTCAGCTACCTTGAGTCATATAGGCAGATACAGATAGGAACAAACTATGGCATTTGCTGTAATTCTTATAAATTCTCTGCCTAAGAACTTCTTTTTTGCTAGACAGCTCAGTTCTTAATAATTTAAAATACAACATTTATGCATCATACAAAGCCAGGATCACACATGGTGATGCAGAGTTTCAAACTGGAACATATAGATTTACCTCAAGAACCAGGCAAGATTTATGCTGATTTTATATATTATAATGCAACACTACATAATAATTATGTAGCACAAATCATTTGTACCGTCTCAGTAAAATTGTATCTTCACTACTTTTCAGAGAGATTCCCATTGTCTTTTTCACAATTTCATCATTAACAGTACAAAGGAAACACATTTATTTTAATATGAAACAAGGTCAGAACACATTTGGAAATCTAATGCCCTCTTTTACATCTCTTCAAAATATGAACTTACCATTATATTGTGAAGTCAAAATTCTTCTACCAATCAACTGCCACTGTTTTTAAACTAATCTGAAATAAAAAAAATTGCAAGCCATCAGTTTATGTAGTTGTGCGAAACAAATACTATTTCCACTAGCAATTCATTTGATCCCAGGTTTTGGGGTAAATTATGATACCTTGACCTATCATTAAATATCAGCAACATAAAGCCTCAGTGTTTTCAGTTCTCAGAAAACTTTCTGTCCACTACTCTTAAACATCATTGGCTTTTCCAGCAATATCAAACTAATTTTGGTTGGTATGTTTTATTTCAGAAGTCAGGAAACAAAACAGGCAGCAAATGTTATGACACCCCCCCCCCACTGCTGCTCACAAAATTTTGGAAACATTATCCCTTTTGCCTGTGTTGAGGTGTGTTTTGAGTCCTTCTACAAGATTATTTTTGAAGAACTGAACGGATGCCCAGTGGGGAGTTAATTGATACCATCCAAGCAGGCAGGATGCTATTTCTGGTTCAGGAATATTTCAGTAAGGTTTTTTGGGGGAGAGAATTATGCAAAAATGAAAGCATCCCATCTAGTTTTAGTCGATTTTCATTCCATCTTTAACACTGTTATGAAATCTGACATGGTGAAATTGGTAGGAAAGATATTAGTCATATAGAAGGAGCATAATACAGTCAGCCGGCAAGTCATTCGCCCATAATTTTAGCATCAACTTTCAAGACTAAATAATTAGATTATAAAAATAATATACTGACCTTGTTCAAGAGATCCCATAAAACAGTAAACATCTAACAATTTTGGAGAAATGAAAAAAACATAAAATTGCAGAGTCAAAAATATTTTCAGTTAATTTTTTTCTAATTTTTGCTTCAACACTGGGTAAGGAAATCCTAAAACTTAAAACATGCTGACTAGAACTGTACATTGCTATAGATGCAGAATTAATCCATTTGCAATCTTATGTTCTTGAGGAAAATGGAAAAGGTAGATACTTTAAATGTACATCAGTAAGTTCAAGTGAGAACTTGGGAAAGCAATTATTCTCTCTGAATGCCTAATCATAGGCTGAACAATGTAACCTCAGTGAAAAGTGGAACGGATTGATGCTAATATCATGAGTGTTCATCTGGCAGAATCTAATCTCATCATTGGTTACAAGTTGATTAAAAAGCTTTGAACAAACCATGGAATAAATGAAAACTAACCTCTTACCTCAAACTAGTAATTCCATCCTCAAAACCTAGTTAATATAAAAAAAATGCCCACTTATATATGCAAACACAAAACATTGGAAGTTTAGTATTACAAAACCGAAATAATAATGCTGTTTTTTCACCCACATTCCAATTGCAATTCAGGTATTTCAATATCTTTTTAAACTTTGCTAGTTTTATTCTAAGTTTAACAGATCAATCTTGAAGACAGAAGTAGCTCCACAGCAATTCCATGGACTAGATTCCTAATGTTTCTAGGTCTTCAATAAAACCTTTTCTGACAGGATTAGGTAGCCAAACTCAGAAAAGTTAAACAACAATCCAAAAGAATCAAGAATACTGTCATCCATTCCATTCAGTTACTAAAGAAAAACCCCTGGACCATTCTTTTGACCAAGAGTATACTTTACTGAAGCAAAAGTCGTTACAAAAGTAGCAAAGCAGAATGGCAAACTGGCAAGCAAACAATACTTAACTTTCTTTTTCCCCAAACCTCCTCCCTTATCAGTCTTTGACCAAATGAAATTGTCAAAGATTGTCTGGGTAACAGACCCTCTGTGCACGCCTGCTTCTTCTCCACATTCTTTTAGGTGACCTTGGGCTGGATTGGCAAGTCTCCTTTATTGGACCGGCACTGTTTGCTCCCAGACACCCCCTTTGTCCTCCCGCATTCCATTCACCTCCCTTCTCCTGCTGTAAAAATGTCAAGGGGACAGAATACAAAGCCATGCTAGCAGAATGGCGACCATGATAGATATGCTGTTCAGGGCATATAGTCGAACAGACATTTTGCATTAATATAGCATTATTAAAGATTACATTTTTAAGGACATCCTGTTTGCAAAAGACTATGTAATTGCTTGCAGTAAGTCCACAGGGTTAAGTTGATATAAGTAGTAGCTTACCACTGTCAACAGTTTTGCTTAAACAATTCCTCATGTTACTCCAAGTCCTAAAAGATAAAGAAAGGTTGATCAATAGCCAAGAAAATGAATTTTTTACTCATGGAAGATCCAGGTAGGTGCCCAAAGTCAGGTAGAGCTAATCACAGACCTCCATCTTTAAAGTCAGTTTTATTAGCTTCTCATCATGCAGGCTGACAGCATTAAATATTTAAATATCAAGTGTATTTTAATTAACACATAAGAACAATCTGCCACATATATTCAAATTTTCCTCAGGAGGCTAGAGAAATTCCTTATGTACTTTTTCAACAATTTGCAATATTCAATTTGCTACAGAAATAGACAGGATCAGAATGGGAAAATGGTTCAGTGTTACTTTATTATTGTTCTATTCATCACAATTTATGTTGGTATCATTTTTATGGTTACTCATAAGATTATAAAAATAGCAATTAAATTAAAACCTACAGATGGTTAGGACCTTTATTAGAGCTAGTCCAGATGGCTTAGATAAGACCTATCAAAGTAACAATTGCTCCTATTATAAACCTTCATCTGGCAGATAAAGCTCTTTGGAAGGGAAGTTACCCCATCGTCAAAAGCCTCTTGACAGGTGAAAGAAGACCTCCTAAGCCCATGGTGGCAAACCTATGGCACGCATGCCACAGGTGGCACGCAGAGCCCTCTCTATGGGGCACGTGTGCCGTCGCCCCCATCCAAGGCCTTAAATCCCATCTATGAGCAACCTGCATCAAAATCTCCCCGGGCAAGTGGTTTTTAAGCTGGGTTTTATAAAACCTTTTCGCTTTAGGCCTCCGCTGTGTGCAAAAAAAAAAAAAGTTCAATCAATCAATTTCAACTCGAGGGGATAAAAAAGATCTCGCAAAGTTGGGATTGATTGCACTTTATTTTTAGTCCCACGTAGCGTTGGAGGAAGTGACGCATCGGAGCTGGAAAGGTGCCATGTGGGGAGAGCAGCGGGAGCAGTGCGCTCCATGCGAGGGGTGGGGCGGGACCTGTGCATGGGGTAAAGCAATGCGGCGGCGCTAGCATGGTGGTAGATCAGTTGCTTCCCTCCCCCTGCCAGACACCTGCCGAAGCCACGCAGGATAAGGTTGCCAGGCCCACCACCGCCCAGATGCCCTCACCTCCCTTAAACGTTTTTTTACTAACCTGCCTTTCACCTGCATTCCGTTTCTCCATTTGCTTCTCAGCCTTCGACGGCGTTTGTGGGACTATCGGTTAAAAAAAAAAGTTCCATCAGACTTTCTAACTTCTTCGAGATCTTTCTTTCCTTATCTGCCCCACTTGCTCAACCATGTTGCCCTTGCCAATGGCCCAACTGCCCACTTCAGCATCTGCCCTCTCTGAGCTTCTGGCGATCCACCTGCTGTTTTGGTGGCTCTGTAAGCAGAGCTGCGAAGTTGGCTGAAGTTCTCTTCTCTGACTGCAGCTCTGCCTACAGTCACTGTAGCTGAATGGGCAGGTGAGGGGGGAACCTGCCCCACGGTCGCTTTCGGTCGAGCCGCATTGCGGCAGCATTGGGCACAATACGCGAGGCGGCAAATAGCCACGCCACACCAAAACCTACTCCGCTTGCTGCTGGAGGGCTGGCCTGGTATTTGCAGCGGGCTGTGAAGCCTCAGAGTGCACCGGTCGAGGGCAGGCTGTGGCTGCTGATGGACAGTTGGCCTGGTCTCACCTCACCCCGCAGGACGAGCCTCCTGCCCACCATCCCACCCGCCAGAGACCCCCTGGATCTCCCCCAACCCTGCCCCCACAGGAGCAACATCGAGTTGGCCACACCCACCATGATCACTGCAGCCATGCCCACCAAGCACCCAATAAGTGGGGTTTGGGTTGCAGTTTGGGCACTCGGTCTCTAAAAGGTTTGCCATCACTGTCCTAAGTTGTTTCTGGACAACGGAATGTTTGATTCCAACTCAATGTTCTGTTAATATTCATTTTCCCAGGTTTTGATTGTTAGATGATTTTTGTATTTACTTTATACAGAAATTTAATCATTGTGTGTAACTTACCCTACTACTGATGACATACATATCAGTCTTGGTGCTTTGTTTGCCCACCATCCTTTAATTTGCACATCTGGCAGGCAGCATGCTTAAATTCACAGGATATCCCCAACATGCTTGCCTGCTCCTCTTTAGTCTTCCCTAAGCTAAGAGTCCTTAGGATAAATGCTGGTTGCAACTGCCTGCTTTATTTAGTTTTAGTGAGAACATGCAGTACAGTAGAATTTCTTACAGGCATACGGAATTTATAGGATGAATTTTTGACAGAAATTTAGAGAATTTGAACTAAATTGAACTAAAATACACCTAAAAGTCATTAAAAGGTATATTCTTAAGGTTTGATAATATCGCTCAGCCAACCAACTTTCTGTATTTCAACTTGCCTTTTCTTGAGGTTCTTCAGAAACACAGCTCAATCATTAAGACCTACAAAGAGAATTATTTTCTTAGGCCACTAGCCTATTTTTTTTCACAAAGCATCATTTTTTCTTCCAAACCTTGCTGTGATCTACTGTATCAGTGTATGTTCAGTTTATCCTCACATGTATCAGCGACCTGATTCTGCATCATATACAGTAGATTAGTTTGTCCTTTTCATTCCAAATCCAATTGTTTAAACATTAACTGTTGCAGACAAATTATAGATGGATGTAATTAAAATGCTTGCATCAGCATTTTACATTACATTTCTAAGCAACAAAGCTGAAGTGTCCTAAGACCAGCGAAACAAATTATCAAATAGAATCTAACACAATTTTTAAAAGGCAGAAGATGAAATATGCATAAATCACAGCAAGTCACAGAAAATGAATAGATCCAAAGCGTGCAAGATCACTCTTCAACTAAGAACCATAGCTCAATAAATTATGTTTTCTATTTGTTTGGCAAGTTGAATGAATTCCAAACTCAAAATGTAATAACCACAAAGGGCACAAGCGGCACTCACCCTGTTAGCATTTTAGAGGGCCTTAAAGACTTGGCTCTTTACCCCGGTCTATAAGATGGGGTACAACCCTTATTATAAGAATGGGCATTTATGTTGCTGCCTGGTTTTATTTGTTCCTTATTTTTACTATTGGTTTTCTTGATTTACATTTTTAAATCACTCAAAGTCACTGGGAATCTGGCAGTGTGCAAGTTTATTAAATAATACTTAACAAAGATTAACAAAACTAGGATGCTCGCAGTGTAACTGTAGAAAAATGCAACTACAACCTTGTTGTATATAAAGAACCACTATTAAGTAAAAACTCGTAATAAAGGATTGTGACAATTTAAGAATACCTAAGAATCTCCTGGTAACATTGAAACTGTTCATAAAGTATTGCCTTTAATAGATTGTATTTTGTTTTTTACAACTTACATGTTTGATCATCTAAAGCTGATCCATATTAGAGAACCCAAAGGCCAGCACATCAATAGGTAAGCATTCCAATATTTGCGAACACAGAATCTGTTAAGAGATGTTCAGTTCAGTAGTTGTTAGAACTTACAACATGAATGTAGTATCGTGGCAGGAAGGTTTGGATATTTTAAACTAAATTCAGATATAGTTAAGTGAACACAATGAAAAGATTTTCATGTTTATCAGCAGAAATCTAAAAAATGTTAATAAGTTACCAAGTTACTGTTGAGGTCAGAGAGGTTTTTAATGAACAATTACTTGAACTAGGCCTATCTGTATCAGGAACAATCCAGAATCAGACCAGCTTTAGAGGATGCATCAGATAGGAGCGAAAGACAGTGTTCATCACAGATTATCTGCTGAACTATGTTTTCATCACACGCATCCCTCCTTCGATAAAATAACCTAATAGACTATTTAAATCTTACAACTTACCAATCCTTGTTCCATGATCACAGAATCATTTGTAAAACCCTGTAAAGAAAACAGCAAATATTTCAATGTTTCAAATTACAAAAGGGATGAAGATTCTTTTTAAGAGCATAGATTGTGCCTCAGTTTGAAACAAAGGTGGTTAAGCATTCTCATCATTATTTTCTCAAGAGTAGCAAATAAGCATCATCATTATGGCACAAAGGCACAACCAAAGGTACTGTTTCTATCTACTTAACATTCAGTATGTATCACAAGAACAGAAACATACCTTTACAAACAGCGTTGGCTTGAGATTTTGTACCTACAAAGGAAATGGGCGTTTATTAGACAAGAACTATTTTTAAAACAAAACAGACCTAATAAGGGTTGGTAGTACTTTGATTGGTAATCTTTAGAAAGAGACTCACTTTTGATCTGCAGCCTTAACACTGATTTTACTGCCAACAATGAGGACTCTTCATTTCCTCCTTTAGGAGGGAATAAGGTCTGCTGTATAAAACTTTCTCAGCTTAGCCTACAACTTTCAAGCAAAAGAAGCAAGTTCTTCTCACTTAAATTAGAAGGCGGATGGATGCCACAAATATTACTGCATTTGTTTTTAGCCACAGCATGATTTTTGACTATTAGTGCAAATTACATATCAGGACAGAAATAAGCCATCTCACCAACACTTCCAAAAGACAAAGATGAAACCATTCCAAATTTGCAGTTGTGCCATTAATCTTTTAATAAACAGGATTCTCAATGTGCAGTTATTGGGCGAGTCATGTCTCAGATCGTATGTTACTTGCTCTTGTTATGAATTATGAAATACATAATTGGAACATGAGTTTTCCCTCATCTACTTTATCCATGTTGCTGTCTCTCTGCCAACTGATCAACATTTTGATGCTTTTTAGGCAACCTCAGTCATACATCCTCATTAGCCATTTCTAAAAGGTCACATGGCACAAATCATTAGATGAAGGCAACCATTAGGGCCTAACTTAAGTTTTTCTCCTCCCTAAAATTTCTTAAGTAATGTTTAAATAAGGCTGGGGTCAGATTATATTTAAAATCTCATCAAAATTAAGTATTAGTACCATCACATGTGCATGGCATAATATATAGGTAGTTGAGGGCGGGGAAGCTTATTTATATAAGCTTCGGAGGGGGTCATTCCATGTAAAGTGGTCTGGAGGTCCCTCTTGACCATCACGGATTTCCATGAAATTTTGTGTCCCCAATGAACGTTGGTAAAGTGTTACATTTGCTGTTCCGGAGATATAGTCATTTGTTTGACCCCATACCACAGCCTTCTACAGTATGACTCAGGTTCCAGCAATTTGAGACATATTATCTCCGGCAATATTTTGTTGAGAGAAACAAAACTTGGCCATCTTTGTACAACTTTTTGTCCTCTATTAAACAAAATAATAAAAAACATTCTCATGAGCGATCTCCATCTAGATAATTTGGAGCAAAGCTGGCCAAAAATATTGTGGCTCCAAAAAAGTTTAAAGTTTGGCTTTTTATATCTCTGGAAGGAAAGGTATGATAAATGTGAAACTTTGTGCGTAATAACTTAGCAATACAAGGTTTTTGAATATAAAATTTCATTTTCCTACTGCTTTCCAATAGTTGACATTTTTTGTAAAAATGCCAAAAATAGGGTATTTTCAGCCCACTTTTACAAAAAAGACCTTCTGGAAACCGTTAAATCATTCTCATTAGAAAGAGCATGTTTCAAACCCCCTAAAAAAGTAGGGTTGGTTTTTCATTGCTGCTAGCCTGTGAAGCAAATACATTGTATTGCAAAGGAGTACAAATAAATTACCTTTGTTTTCTCTTGGAAGTTTTGGCTTGTGAATTTTATTTCAACTAGACAACGAATCCCACAATTGGAAATGAGTAATCATTGCTATAGCTAAATTAAGGCCCTAATCCTGCTCAGAAATGTTGGCGTTCATCACACTCTCAGATGTCCCTACCAACATAATTTATCATCATTTGCAGGTACTAAAGTTTTATTTTTTTCAGGATATTACTCCGAAGGTCCCTCTCTACGTTTTGCAATACAATTAAATCCATGTTTTGCAGTGAATACGGCAAATCATTTACTTTTTAAAAACATATAGCTTTAATTAGTTTATCAGAGATCGATACCGGGATCAGGCACTTCGGATCCATCTAAAGGTCACCGCGAAGAGAGGCTGGAGCTCAGTATCTCAGTACATTAAGCTTCCGCTAGTTCTCTTTTTGAATTTACTCTTTAGCCTACGGAGAAATTCTACCGAACGCAAAAGCTTGCATGCCGATTTCATAAGGGGAGCTATTATTATTCCCGTGCGGAATTCATTTTCAACTTTTTAGACGATCAGTTTTATGCTTTCCTCGACCACGAGGCCCATCTGGAAAGGCTGTTCCTTTGAGCCGTTTTTGCAGCGCCATCTATGCTCAACGCCCAGCATTTTTCAAAATATGGGAAAAAAACGGAAAGCATGCTATAATCTAACGCCATCCGTGCCTCCCCCAACCCATCCACGAGCAACACTACATTTTAAAGGCCCAACTCCTCTTTAGAAAGTAGTAAAGCAACACGAAGGGGGGGGGAAGGGGAAAAGGAAGGGAGGAAATACTCACAATACTTACCCAAACACACAACCTAAGGCAGATTCCAAAAGAGAAAGCGCGGGCCGCAGCCACTCATTTTATAGACGCTGCGTAGATCTTGGGGTCACGTGACGGGCACGCGTCTTTGCATAGCTCCTCCTCCTGTTACCACTCCCTAGAAAAAATGATTCCTACGCATAACAGTCCCCCCTCCCCCCACTTCAGCGCCACAAGTAACCAGGCCGTCCGCCCGGCGCAGGTTCCACCCTCTCCGTGGTGGGCTCATTCCTGTGGGTGTGGCTACCTGACGCGAAGATTGTTTCAGTGGGGCTGGGGGGAAAGCAAGTCAATCAACAAAGACGAAGGGGGGGATATGTACTTCCGGGGCGTTTCTCTTCTGGGGGGTTCGCTTCCGGAAGGGTGTTCGGGCTCGTCCCACCCCCCCTTGGAGGTACGTAGGCGATGTATTTCGGTCCCCTCGGGATAGGGAAGGAGCTCGGGAGAGTTGTCGTCTCTCCTTTCTTCCCACCCTCAGGCGCACTCTAGGACAGTCATTCTGCGGTGCTTCCCAAAAGGACGGTGTGGATCTGCATGCCCCCCGAATTTCTAGCCTCACTTCTCCCCTTCTGTGTATCTTAGCAACGGAGTTTGCTCCTCCTAAAAGAGATTTCTATGTACAAGGTTTCCTGTGCTCCTCTTCCTTGATCTTTTGCACCTTCCCCCAAATCCGGTGAAATTTGTCAGTTTGCAGTTACTGTACCTACCTTTTGATTCACCCATACATTCCTCCCTCGGTTTTGTTATTTTAATTAATTGTCCTCTTTAGGTGCTTTTTGTTAACGTACGAAGTGTTTTGTTTCTTTGCAGTTTGCTCAGGTTCTTGGAGTATTTGGATCTAAGAAAGCTGTTCTGTAGTGAGAAAGATTTAGAAAGCAGAAAGTTGGAAGGAGGGTTAAATTCTGTCTTGTAGTCCGCTTGCCTGCTTGCCTCTTTGGAAATACTTCAAAATGAATAGAATAGAATAGAGCTGGAAGGGACCTTGGAGGTCTTTTAGTCGAGCCCCCTGCTCAAGCAGGAGAACCTATACTATTTCAGACAAGTGACTGTCTAGTCTCTTCTTTAAAATCTCCAGCGATGGAGCGCCCACGATTTCTGGAGGCAAGCTGTTCCACTGGTTAATTGTCCTCACTGTCAGGAAGTTTCTCCTTAATTCCAGGTTGCGTCTCTCTTTGATCAGTTTCCAACCATTGTTTCTTGCCCTGCCCTCTGGTGCTTTGGTTAATAATGTGACCCCCTCTTTGTGGCAGCCCCTCAAATACTGGAATATTGCTATCATGTCACCCCTATTTCTTCTTTTCTTTAGACTAGCCAAACCCAAGTCCTGCAGCCATTCTTAAATCTGCATGTATGGTTGTTTGTGCGAAGAGATGTTATAGATAGAACTTCATTAAAATTATGTATGGTGTGGAGAAAGTGGAATCATCTGATTTCTTTTGAAAAAGCTGAAAAAATTATTTCTCAAATTGTTTGTAATGTTGGAAATTATTTTTTCCTGTTTAGTTAAGAGAGCCAACCAAAGTTCCTGATTATCAGAAGGTTTAGGACAAGCCAGAATAATAATTCTGCATTTGAATAAAATAAATTAATATGCAATTAATTGCTTAAAATAGCTTAAATGGAATTTATAAGAAAAATGTTCATAGAGAAACTTAATAATTTTAACAAATGTAAAATAGTATAAATGCTATTGAATAATGACTGTGAAGCATCACCTTTATCGCCTTCATTATTTTAAATTTCCTTTTTAAACATTTGAATTTTGAATTGTAATATATTTCAACTAGTTTCTTAAAATTAGAAAGCCACATAATATGCTTTATCACTTCACTTATTTTATGATAAAAAAAAATCTATTTTTAAAAAAGTCTATGGCTTCATACCAGTAGATTATATACATAGAGCAACATGGAAAAAGCTATTCTATACATTTTAAAGTCTTTGCTCAGAAGAATCTATACAACATCTATTCCTACAATGGATTCATGAGGTCTTTACGCATCTTGTTAATTTTCATTGTGTTTCTAAATTTGTGCATGGTAGTCTGCATATAATTATTGCTGATATCCAGTGCTTTTTTTCTAAAAAAAAAAAAAAGGTGCCAGAACTCACACACGTCATACAACCCACCTTGCCTACCCTACAAGGTTCCATCCAAAAAAGGTGCCGTTCTATGAGAAAAAAAGCCCTGCTGATATCTATCTGCCTTTTAGATTGAAGTTTACTTATTTTACTACTTTATTATTAGTAATTCTAAAAGTGTTCACTATTGTGTCCCTGCAATACTATAGACTAGGGGTGTCACACTCGCAACATCACGTCACGTGTCATGACGTATCGCAACTTTTTTGCCATTGCCGGCAATGGGGTGAGTATGGTTTTGCCATGACACATCCGGTCCGCAGGCCGGCAGTTTGACACCCCTGCTGTAGACTAATGCAAAAAAAGTACAGCTAATGGATGTTCCTTTTTGTAATACTATAGAAATAAAGAATTCTAAAGTATTTATCAGGCTCTGTTAATTCTGTGTAAGTCTAAAAGTCCATGTTCAAAGCTAATAAACCTAATTTCAAATTATGGGATATTTTACTATAATTTCTAAACCTTATAATAAGGCAAAATAATTAAAAGTTAATACTGAGTATCCTGTCTCACTTCAATAAAAGATTTGGGTTTAGGACTGGATACCAATCCAAGATTAATGTTGCCATACACTAAATAAACAAGATTAATGGTACTGTACTGCTATCATGTTTTTCTTTCATAAGAGATGGAAAAGAACTATTGAAAAAATAGAAGCAGATGAAGAATAAATAAAAGAACATAAAACATTTTGTTCTTAATAATTGAAATAATTATCAATTGCTAATAATTGCTCATTGTTAATAGAAAAAGTAATGTAATATCTGATGTTTTCAATCCCTTTTTTCATGCATTGAGCATACCAAAACCCTTCTTGCCATGGGTGAAAGTAGAATTCCAATTGTGTCTGTTCATTGCAGAAGAAATTTTGGAAGGGCAGTCTGCATACATTAATTAAATAAGAGTGAATCTAAGGAAACTTTCTGTCTGAAAAATATTATATAGATATAGATGAACTGATCATCATTATAATATACAAAATAAATAAGATACAACATGCTGCTTTTTGTTTTGAAGTTGGCAAATAAGAGTTCTTATCTAAACTCTTAATTTGTAAGACTTATTCTTGTACAGCACTTGTTGCTACATTCATAATGTTTTGTTAGCATAACATGTTTTCATATCCATACATCCTTGCAATATTCTTAAAGAAACCCATTCTGATGTCTTCTGAATATTTTTCTGAATTAGTATAACTACCAAGAATATCATTACCTGGCTGGAAACTAAAGAATCTATTTGCATATGGAAGATACAGTTTTTATGGGTGATGTTACTATGTAACTTTTAAAAACATATTGAGTACATGCACATATACAGTATACCGTACTTGTGTTAACTATCACCTTGACTAATATATAAGCTGAATACATAATTTACTGCAAAGGAAATTTTTATTGTTCTTCAATATGAAATAAATATAGTTTTATTTTCAATGAACGTCTATTTATTAGTATCAATTCTATATGTATTAATGAGTGAAAGGTATGTTACCATTATTGGCCACAAGGAGAATTAGTAATCTGCTATATCGAAGCTGGAGTCCTTGCTTAGATGCCTCAGAGCATTGCATAAGCTGGAGAGGCCCCTTTATCAACCTTATAAACCAAATTGTTTACATTTGCCCTAAAACCTTTAATGGAATTTCCACCTTATTTTGACCTTTTGATTATCGAGGAGGATGGCAGAAGTCAAATCCTATGTATAAAGTGTTGGAAAGAATGTATGTACATTGTACTTATTTTCGTTAAGCATACTGTAAGTTAGACCAGAGGATTTGCATAATTTTATTGCTCTGCCCTTCAGAAGGCTTATTAAAACATTTATTCATATCTTCCCATCAATTACTGAAAGACTAGACGAAAATCCCAGTGTAATTCATGAAAAAAGTAACATTATCTTATAATGCAACATTACCTATCTCCTTTATTGGTAACATTATTTGTTAGTCAGCTAGGATAATTATACTTGGAATGTTGAGCAATGGCAATATTGTTAAAAGAAACAGTTGAGAAAAAAGCATTTACTACTCAATTGCCAACTTTCTGTGTTTTTTCTACATAGCTGTTTAACAAGGAAATAGCATTTTATATGTTATATTCACACAAATCACAAACAAATTGATCATATGAAAAAAAAATTAAAAATGTCATGCATTACAAAACATAGAAATGGAGAAGCTCTTTCTAATTCAGCGGTGTATTTTTCCATCGTTAGGGTTGCTCCACCTGCAACTGGAGCCGTCATGGAGAAAAGTGGGAACATTCAGTTGGAGATTCCTGATTTCAGCAATTCTGTTTTGAGCCATCTTAACCAGCTTCGCATGCAGGGCCGGCTGTGTGACATTGTGGTTAATGTGCAAGGCCAAGCCTTTAGGGCGCACAAGGTAGTGCTGGCTGCTAGCTCGCCTTATTTTCGAGATCATATGTCACTCAATGAAATGAGCACAGTCTCCATCTCTGTTATCAAGAATCCCACCGTGTTTGAGCAGCTCCTTTCTTTTTGCTACACTGGGAGAATATGCCTCCAGCTTGCCGATATAATAAGTTACCTGACAGCAGCTAGTTTTCTACAAATGCAACATATTATAGATAAATGTACACAAATCCTGGAGGGAATTCATTTCAAAATTAATGTGGCTGAAGTTGAAATGGAATTAAGCCAAACAAGAACAAAGCATCAAGAAAGGCCTCCAGAATCTCATCGAGCTTCCCCGTCTCTAAATCGATCTCTGAGTCCTCATCATAGCACTCCAAAAGGAAGTCGTATGGGCCAGGTTAGCACAGTTCTGGACATTCGGGAACTTAGTCCTCCTGAGGAGTCTACAAGTCCTCAAATAATTGAACAGAGCTCAGATGTGGAAAGCCGGGAACCCATACTGAGGATTAATAGGGCAGGTCAATGGTATGTAGAAACAGGAGTGGCAGACCATGGTGGGCAGGGTGATGATGATGTTAAAGTCCTTGGAGCAGTGCGAATCAAGACAGAAAACTTGGAGGAGTGGCTGGGGACAGAGAATCAGCCATCTGGAGAAGATGGGAGCAGTGCTGAGGAAGTCACTGCCATGGTGATTGATACAACAGGCCATGGATCGGTGGGACAGGAAAATTACAGTTTGGGCTCATCAGGAACAAAAGTAGCCAGGCCAACCAGCACTGAAACAGACAGGTAAGACTGAACATTATTAGTGATTTTTAATAATAATACACCTCATGCCATGTCAAAGGTGCTGTAAAAATGTTAGAATATTTCAGGCACAATTTTTGCAGTGTAAAGTTCATAATCTAAAAACATCAAAGTGAAACAAAACACATTAAAAAGTTGATTGGATGCAGTCTGCAGAATATCTTCAGAAAGTAGTGAACTGGACAAAGAGCCAATTAAGAGTATGATAGAGTTCAATCTATCATGATTTTTCAGGATGTTTTCTATAATATATCTTTTAAAATCTTATAACAGCAGGTTAGTATATTTCTAGCTTTATTATTATTTAACTTATTGATTTCTATTCCACTTCTGTTCCACCTTTCATTCAAGAACTCAAGACAGCATACATGGCATTGCTGCCTCTCTATTTTTCTCACAACAGTGGGGGGGGGGGGGAGGTGACTGTTAAAATCACCCAGTGAACCTCTGTGATTGAGGCTGGACTTAAGACTTCTAACTGCTAGTCCCAATACCTTAACCATCACAACACACTGGCTTCTTTCCTGGCTTTCTAGCACCAAGAATTTATTACTTTGCTGTATTGGTCTGAAACTTAAGTTTTGTTTCCAATTTAATTCTAAGAAATGTGTAGTCTGCACTCTGTTTGGAACTTAAAATACTAATTTTAATTTACTCAGAATAAATCTTTTAAAAACTGAAATTTTAGTAATAGACAAAAAATGCAAGATACTTTTAAAAGATAGTCAGACTTTTTCTCTATTTAAAAACAGAGAATTGCATGCTTGCAAATCATCATGAGGAAAATTTCCAATCTCTAGCTTGGTCTGTCTAAATTGTAACCTTTTCTTTCAATTGATTCCTGAAAAATCAGTGGATTTTTCTGCTTTTGTTTTGTTTGAGCAGGTTGTTTTATTTATTTATTTTAGCATAACCATACATAAGTCTCTGGAGCAATGGCTATAACTTACTTGCCAGTTCAGATATTATATTTATTTATATATTAAATTTCAACCAATAGTTACTAGAAACCATGATTTGGAAAACTAAACTTGATTTATTAAAACATTTTATAGTCACCTTAGTGATTATGGACAGTTTAATCTGAATTAGGCTGTTTTGTTTGGAGAATCTTCTTTCTTAACTCTAATAGGTAATATTAAAGAAGTACCCTTGCCTGGTCTTATATATGAGGAGGTGTCTGTGGCTTGTGTATCAGATACTGTATACCCTGCTTTTATTATGTTTTGATATGCTAATTTTTTTGTTTAACATTTTATGCAACTGCTTTTGGAAATTAAGAGTGCAGATTTAGTAGTCTGTAAAAACTCTAAAAAAATTCTTAGTACTTCATATGCAGGCAGTGTACAAATAATAAATCTCATGTTTCTATTTTGACAAATTTGTTTTAGGCAAAACCATCTTTTCTTATATTAATTTATTTCCTGACTTGAGAAATTAAATTGCTTCATAAATCTTCAAGCTACCATTTATAGTTTTAGGGTTTTCTTAATTTATTTCTGTTTGCTTTATATTTTATCCAACCCCTTTTCTCCCTATTATCAGTTAGTGATGAAGCAGAATCTCCATTTTTTCTTATTTTTTCAGAGCATTTGTATATTACACAAATAGCTCTTAATCTCATTTTCCATCTGCAGATTTAGCCCTTCAGGTAGTGTGGTTACTGTAAATGATCGGTACAGGTCAAAAAGTGAATCTCCATGGCGGATGGATGAACCTAAGCAGCCCAGTTCCCAGGTAGGTGTCTCTTGGTGAGCTCTGTGATGATAATCATGATGCTGATGTTTCATAAGAGTATCTATAGAGAGGCACTTTGCCGTTGGTGTGTTTATGTGTTATTGGGTTGTGTGTGGAGTGTGTGCATATGTGTATGAGACTGAGAGAGATAGAGCAAGTATTAAGGTGCTGTGCTAAGAATGGAAGACCCAGGTTCTGGTCTTTCTTTACATATGGAAGCCTAGTTGAGTGACTTTGGTCAGTCATTTATCAGTCCTAGACTGGGAAGTCAAAAGTTACTATCTACTAAGCTGTAGTTTACTGCAATGTGTGCATAATGCACACAAACACACAAGAATGCACAGACACACTCTGGTACTGTGTTATATGGTGGGTTAGTGGTGAATTACACAAGAAGGTTGGTAATTCAATATCATGAATCAGGCAATGGCATGAGGAGGAAGAAGATTTTATTGGAGTTATTACAACAAAAAATTGGAATAGATGGCAGGATAAGCAAATGAAAGTGAGAAAAAAGAGAAGGTGTCTATATATTTGGAAGATTGTAAGAATAACAATGAACAGTTTAAAAATTGATATTGTGTATTGGGAGTGTAGAGTAAGGGAGAATTGGAAAGACTGATCCAGAATGGAAGAGAGAAATGCTCTATTATTAATTATAATAGAGTATGAGTACTTCAGAAAATAGATCAAATGAATTCTGGGAAGGAATGTGAAGAAACTGATTTTTATATGTATCTAAACACTATTAATCAGTGAACTAACAAGAAGAATTCTACTAATGTATCTGAAAGCCATAAACCCTCTTTATGTTTGAGAATTTTATCTTGTTTCCTAACCCTGTCTACTCAGGATGCACATAGAAGTATGTTAAAAGCAAAACTATAACATAGGTATTGCATTTTAGAAATGTAACCTTAGTCAGCCCATGATCATAAAAAAACCCTCTGCATTTGGGTACAGAAAATGTTTTTATTTCATCTTAGGGATTTGGATGATGAGCCCAGGACAGTTTAGTGAAACATGGCTGTCCCACATTGTTGTGTATCAAACTAAACATTTTTAATTTTGTCCAGCAGATGAATATGCAAGGCTCTTACAGACTTTAAAGTACTTTCCCCTCTGTGCTAAAAAAAATTGCTGGGGTTGTTTAATTTGCTTAAGTGGAAGACTTCAAGGACAATCCCACATAAAGGTTGGTTAAAATAAAAAAAAATCCAGTATATGTATTTTTAAACTACATGTAGAGTATTAAAAATTAAAACTTTCCACGGTAATCAAACCATTAACTGGCATGAATGTACCATGGAAAGTTTTAATTTTTAATACTCTACATGTAGTTTAAAAATATATATACCGGATTTTTTTATTTTTATTTTTTTAAAATATCTTGTTTTTTGCAGTGATCACCATATGATTCCAGGAAGTTTCAGGCAAGGCATAAACATAACACGCTTTGTTGTTTTGTCTTAGTCTTTAATACTCTGAGAAATAATGCTTCTAAGTCTGGATGTTGCTCATCAGCCAGAAAGATGTCTAAGCCTTCTTGTTAACGTCCACCATAATATTTAGCCAACTTTTATTTTTCTTCATAATGTTTCTGTTCTAGGTGGAGGAGTCAGCTATTGTTGGAGTAAGTGGCTATGTGGAATACCTCCGTGAACAGGAAGTATCTGAGCGGTGGTTTCGTTACAACCCACGTCTGACTTGCATCTACTGTGCCAAATCCTTCAACCAGAAGGGTAGTCTGGACCGGCACATGCGGCTTCATATGGGCATCACACCTTTTGTTTGCCGGATGTGTGGCAAAAAGTATACCCGCAAGGATCAGCTGGAGTATCATATCCGGAAACATACAGGCAACAAGCCTTTTCACTGCCATGTCTGTGGGAAGAGCTTCCCCTTCCAGGCTATCCTCAACCAGCACTTTCGTAAGAATCACCCTGGCTGTATGCCTCTGGAGGGATCGCACAGCATCTCTCCAGAGACCACTGTCACCTCCAGAGGGCAAGCTGAGGAAGAGTCTCCTCTTCAGGAAGAAGCTGGTCTGGCTGGGGAAACGGCACAGGGATCTGTATCGACTACTGGGCCAGATTGAGGCCAGAAGCCCAGTGGATCAGGGGATCTTCTTTAGGATAAGCAAACCCCACTGGGATGGCGAGCTCCTGTAGTTGGTTGTGCAATGTTGCCACGGGACGAAGACACTCCTGAGAGGTTGCCAAAACAAAAAAGATACAGTACTGTAACAAAGTGCTTATGGTTTCCCTTATTTTTTTCCATCTCTTTGGAAAGGAGAAAACAAAAACTGGGTTAACTAACCTCTGATTCAGGGATTAACAACTTCGGAGGGGTGGGCTTTTTTTTTTTAAAAAAAAGTATTCAGTAGTGAACAAGGAGAAATAGATTTTTCTTATTTCTTAGCAACAGATCCTGTGGTCCTATGGGCTGCAGAGTTCTAGCTATGTGTATGCAGAGCATCAGCATCTGTATTTATCAAAATCATTATACCTCCATAAGATACATGGGGTCAGGAATTGGTTTTTGTTGTTCTGTGCCCCATTCTTATTTCCCAGGTAATTCTTTTTTGAGAAGAATGGCTGTTGTAGTATAACCAACCATGCCTGAGTGTGTTTTATCTTATTTTGTTTTGATGTATCTTTAAAAAAATTGACCCATTATCTAAGGGCTTTTATTAGGGGAAGGGGGCTTACCATTTCAACATGTGTGGCCTTGCCTGTTTGTTATAAGGCTAGCAATTTTTTGAGCAGTATTTTAAAGATGACACAATATTTAAATACTTAAGCTACTGAAAAAGAAGGCAGTAACTATGAGGTTTTGCCATGTTTGAATGATATTTTCAGTTGTGAAATATCGGTAGTGCAGAACACGTCACAATTCTTGCTTATTCTATGTGTGCTGCAAAAACTGAAAAGTAGATTTCTAGTTATGATGAATTTTTAAAACTGGCTTTTTTTCCAAAGGTCATCCTTTGCCTCCCATGAACTTGATCTAATGAAACAGCAATATTTGTATATCAAAATAGATGGATCTCAATGGGAGAAGAAATCCTGGTTTGTCTTTGTTTCCCTGTTTGGTATTTTTATATGAAAAACGTGCAAAAAAAGACTCCTACAATTCAGTAGTGTAAAAGCTCCCATTTCCTATAAGCAATGACAACTTTTCCTTTACACCTCTATAATATTTCACATATGAAGTAGGGAGATCTCTCTCTCTTTCTCTCTCTGCCAAATCCAGGAAATATGCATCTTGTGTTTCTTAATATTCTGTTTATAACTGAAAGGATACATGTGCAGAAGAGCAAATATTTCAAATAAGTGTCTTAGATTTGCAAAATAAGTTCTGTGTTGGTATTTTAGTAGCAATGCTGTAGAATAAAGGCGAAGAGTTGGCATAATGCTAATATTATAGATTATATGGAACTAAAATGGCTGAAACAAAACTTATAGGAGAAAGCTTAAGATGTGGTGGAGTCATGAAATGAATGGAGAGAGGAATTACTGTACAATGTTATTGTAAAGAAAGAAACAGCTTCTTGATAAACATGCTTAGATTTGTATAATATTAATATTTCGCCAATCTTGCCCTCTTACTCCACACATTTCTTGCTTCTAAGAATGAAACTCTTGATTATGCTCGCAGGAAGAATGAAAATTGTTTGATACTTTCCCCTTTCCTCCCTATGTGCGCATTTCTTTTTTATGTTAACTGAGGAATTTGTTCCATTCCCCAATTCATGATAAAGCAAGCAGTGATTTTTCTATGCGATCACAAAGATAACGATTCAAAACTCATTGAAAAGGTTAATTCATGTTTGTTTGATAAGCTTGATAAGATTCTCCCAACACCCCCCCACACACACACACACACTTTTCTTCTGAATGAAGTAGGGAGGAATAATAGATGGGAATATATCTATCTATATGCTGCTTTAATCATAACTTTCAAATCTACCAAAAAGAGACAATTTACATTAAAGAGAATTGGAAAATATTTCTAGTTAGTTTATAACAAAGTTTTTAAGCATTTAAGAATAGAATTTTAAAAATGTTACCAAACTTGTAAGGCATACATTTATTTATCTACAAGTATGATATATATATATATATAAATATATATATAAATATATAATTATAATGGGAATATTTCTTTGCTGAATTGATGACAGTGTAGCATTTCTATATAAGAGTTTCCTTCAAAGCAGAATGCAGCAAAAATCCATACATATTAAGGGGGCAAAGAGTTGTAATGGATTGTTAAATGTGGCATTTACAGAGCTGTAAGTTCTTTTTGAACTGATACTGTGAACAGAGGAGGGACCAAGTAATCCAGAATTATGTCATCGGTCATTACCTGCTTGCTGGTAGACTCCTCTTTATTTAGCCTGGCCAGAATCATTGGGCATTTCTTGCCTCTTAGCCCAGGCTTCATTTTAAAAGAAAAATAAAGCTTGTGAAATGTGCTTTTAGTTGCAGCCATTGAAAGATGTCATTTTTACTTGCGTGCAAATGAGCCAATATTCTTGCCCATTCTTCTTTTGAACTGGGTTTATAGCTTTAGTTATCCAATCAGCTTATTAAGAGGCTTGTGCCACCAATCTTCCCAGTCCCTTCTTTCAATATGCCTGGAGGAGTTGGGAAACACTTATTTCCTTTTATAAGCAACACAGTTTATTTTGAAAGCTGGACCCAGACAAATGTGAACCTTAGGTATGATTCATTGAAGCAGACAAATTCAAATCACATTTTGTGAAGGTGATTTATTTCAACAGGCTATAATTACAGTTAACTTTGTGTTTATGTTCAGATAATATTACCTCTGGATGCAATCATGGTGTCAAATGAGACCAGGATTCAATATTTTGTTTGTGTGTCTATGTGAAGGTACAAGTGTGTGTACATGCAGAAAATGACCTTGATCTGTGGCTTGATAAAATATAAAAGCTGCCAAAATACCCTGAGCTTTGTGGGTTTATTCAGAGAGTACATTTGTAGTGTAAACAAGAAATCCTTGTAAAACGTGTATTACTGGAGAAGCTAGATAGAAGGGTGAATTTTCTTGTGTTCTTGAAGAGCCTGGCACTCTTTAAAGAGTTAGAAGCCTTGCAGGAATACATGCAAGTTGTTATGATTTGTATAACCCAAATCATGCCAAATATTAAGGCATTGTATCTATTGACAATTGTTCTTCTGTCCCTGCCAGGTGGCAGAATATAATTGCTAGAATGGGCAGTGGACCAATTAGCAAAAAATCTAACTTCATTTGACCATTTATGTGGAAACCCATAGTGTTGATGCGGCTGGAGCTGAAAAAAAAACTGTTGCACTGTTTGATTCTGTCTTGAGATCTTACTTTTCCCTCACATTCTACCTTGATTGTTCCTTTTTTAAGTTATTCTAAACAACGTGCTATTTATACAAATAAGTTATGAGCTGATGGCGCATAAATTCGCAAGGCATGTTTCAATACTTAAACTTGTTTCAGGCTATTATGCTTTGTGTAGCAAAATGGAAAGTATTCATTTTAATAAATGCTAGTAGTGTTTGAACGAAAGTGACAAATAAAAGTGTTTGTATTAGACAGAATTGAAGCAAACCTGTAGTGATGCTTACTTTTTTGTTCTGCAATGAAACATTTACTTGTGCTGGAATTTTTGTATTCAGTGCTTTAACCTTAAAGGCAAGTCTGGTAATGAGCTTCTTGAAGTTATTGTTGGAGACATTAGGCATTGGTTATATTGCCATCCATTATCCTCTAGATTCTATAGTGTAGATGTGTTGGTAACCTATTTTTTTATTCAGTGCATCTGGACATTTTCATATGTGCTAAATTGATTCATAATGTGACTCAAAAGGGAAGTAAAATAAAACTCTTTAATATTATACCTCATTACCTAATGCCTAACTTCAAAAAAATTGTAGTGAGCAATTTATCTCATTTTTAATGAGACTTGGTAGGTTGGACTTACATTTACCTCTTCTCTTTCAAAGAATGACAAAGCATTAGGAGGAAAGAATAATTTCATTGCCCTGCACTTGCAAAATGAATTTTCAGTGTGAAATTTTGCCATTATCTTCCTGGGTCTGCTGCTATGCATTAATCTTATCAAAAGCAATAGAGTAAAATTAATATAATTCTTACACATATCATTGCACTGCATGTCTGAATTGCCTGATTTGCTTTAAAATAGCTAGTGTAAACAAACGTAGAACAAAAAAAGAGGAAAAATAATCTACAATTGTATTGCTTTTTTGCTTTAGAATGAGAGATGCTTTTTCCAAATATTTGTGAGACTCCAACTTATATTTAGAGATTCACATGAACTCAGGATGCAACTTTGTCGTGTCTTCGGTGTCTGAAAAGGTTGGTGATCAATAAGCTGTATTTTTTTTAAGAATACAGAATTTTTTGTCAGAAGAGAGCCTAATCTCTGAATTTGAAAACATTTCTTGCTAAGAATTTTAAGATTTTATGAGTTTTACTTCTGATGTATTCAATTTCTAATGCCAGGTTCTTCTAAATTGAACTGAGTTGTATATTTGATAAACTTTACTTGTTCTTTCATTTTGTTTAAAAAAAGCCTTCTCCATGATTTGACACAGAATTGCTGTAGAAAATTCTTTTGCTGTTTAATGGCGCAGTTTTAAAAATATATATTACAATGAGCCTGAAAAGTGGAATTTGGAAATATGATTATAATTGGAAATAACATAAAGATTTTGGCAGTTGTGTGCTCTCCAAGCTTGTTTCAATATAGTTTCTGAACGTTTCGTTACCAAACTAGGTAACATCATCAGCAGGATTTTCTTGTTCTATTCTCCTTAGCTTATAAATGTCTTGTGTGCCAGTATGGGTATGGTCAGTTGGTCGTATGATTGATTGATTGTTTGGAGCTATATTTAAATTCTGAGCAGCTGATTATATTGATCAAGCATATGAATATGTAAGAAACCAGACCATTTGAATGACCAATCAACAAGAGAACCAACCAGCTGCTCAGAATTTAAATATAGCTCCATTATTTCATGATATAAAGGTATCAGTTTTTTATTATTGTAAGTAAACTCTTGTTAGTAAAAGATTCATCTACTTATTAATATAAGATCTGTAAATATACCAGAATTTTACATAACTAGCAAAAAATATCCAAATGCAAATGAATTAAATTTAAATCTTATTGGAAATTGCTGTTTATGCCACATTTTTTGAATGAATCTCATAAATTGTTTTCAGGAGTTTTGTAGTCCTGGA